TCAAATACTTGGGTATGTTGTTAGACCACAATCTTTTGGCCTCCACATAGACAAACTTGCATCTAAACTTTATCCAAAACTAGATGCCCTGTACAGAAACAAATCCTGCCTAAGACCTACAGTAAAGGAAAAGATTGTACAGCAAATGCTGATGCCAATCATTGATTAAAGGGATGTAGTATATGCACCTGCACCGCAATCCCACATTAATAAACTCAATACACTGTATAACTCGTTCTGCCAATTTGTGCTACAATGTAATTACAGGACCCACCATTGTGACATGCTAAAAGAACTAAACTGGTTGTCGCTGGAATCCAGACGCACCCATCATCTTTCCAGCCTTGTGTTTAAGAGCTTTTCTGGGAAACTCCCACTGTACCTGAGCAGAATGCTCGCCTCGATTGTTCCAACCTCCTATAACCTCCGATCCAGTACCAGCACTATATTTAGTCTACCTTAATAAAATAAGAAAGCAGCCCGATCCTCCTTTTCCTACAGAGCGCCGCAATTATAGAACGACCTCCCGCACACTTTCAAATCTTCCCCTAGCCTAAAGTCCTTTAAGAGATCCCTCTCTACGTACCTCAAAACAGAATGCACGTGTTATGGTTAATTATATATTTCCTACCTGTTCTATGTTAAGTTTTGTATATATTGTGTATTAATATTGTTTTTGTATTTTATTGTACCCTATTGTATCAATGCAATGTTTGGTGGACCCAGGACATACTGGAAAACGAGAGAAATCTCAAAGTATCTTTCCTGGTAAAATATTTTATAAATAAAAAAATGTGACGTGGCCATGCGTGCACCTCTAGGTCCTCCACTGACACACCCACACACATTCACTGACAAACACACACACACACACACTTTCTGACAGACACACACACGCTGACAGACACACACACACACTGAAAGACACACACACACACATTTACACATTCTTGCACACACTCACATCATTTTATTTATTTTGGGAGCTGGTGTGAGGCCTCTCCCTGATCTTCTCTCGGGCGCTCAGTCTTTCTGCTCCCTCACGCACGCAGTTTAGTGATGCCGGGTGCCAGAATGACATCATATTCTGGCACCCGGCATTACTACAGAGGGCGCGCGCGAGGGAGCATTGAGGAGCAAGAAGACTGAGCTCCCTCGCTGCCGCCAGGGACCTCTACTCTCTGGCCAGGTAACTTTGGCAGAGTAGGCACCTGCAATGTGGGGAGAGCAGGTGCCTACTCTGCTTTAGTAAGCATGGCAAACTCGCGGCTCGCCGGGCCACAAAAATATTAATTGTGGGCCGCATGCGGTCAGCGGGCTGCGAGCTTGACATGCTTGCTCTACTAGGTGTTGATCATATCTACATTGTATAATACTGAAACCTTTATTCCTGCCAAGATGTGTCCATACTCTATATCACTGTTAGAGTTCTTGTCATTCTTGTCGTGTCATCATTCCCTGGCCTTCACATCATTCCAGGAGTCTGTAGACATTCCAACATTCACAATCTGCTTCCTCTCATTCCCCCCCATCACCTATGTCTTCACATGTCTTTATTTCCCCTTTCATTTCACGTATGTATATCACTCTATCTCATCGCTCATCACATACCCAGACACCATTATTTCACATGTCTCTATCACTCTTTCTATCACACTCATTACATTCTTCCCGCTTTCCATGGTCAATCCTTTTACACCCCTTCCACCCTCCTTCATTCTTCCTCATTTGGTCTCCGCATTCATCTCATTCTAAATTCCTCTAGCTATCTCAGCTCTTTCCAATTATATTCATTTCTCTCCATTCCACTCTCTCCCATGTGCATATTAGGATTGTTGACCTAAACAATCTTCAGCCTAATCATTGCCAACCCATGGGTAAGCTGTGTTTATTGCAATTTCCTGATGAAGCTAATCTTATTTGTATCATCCTGATTGTCTGAAACAAGAAACAAACCCACAAGATTGTTATGGGGATGCAACAAAACATCTCAGCAGGGAATCAGTCTTGAACAAGGATCATTTACAGTGTAACTGGTAAACATGAAACCTTTTGAGAAAACATGCTCCAGACTACATATGGATTTCATAAATGTCACTAAAGAATAGCAGGTCACATCAGGCAGCAAAGGTTTGCAAAATAGTACTGTTTTCTTATTTATTTATTTTTTTAAATAGGTCATTCATATTTCCTATTATAGCAATATTCAGTTATCTTCACTCCTCTCTCCTTCCCTTTAATTGGTGCTTATTATGAAATGTAATTATAGTACATTTGAGGAACCAAGGTGTATCTGTCTGTCACATATGTAGGGTTCTGGAGGGAGAGAGATATGGTTGGCCTCTCTCTCTGAGAATACTGTGCACAGGATGGTGTGGTAAAAGGCAGACCTATAAAGACCTTTCCCCTGCAGGGCCAGATTTCCCATTGGGTAGAGTAAACCCCAGGCTTGGAAAAGCCCCACTGTACCTTAAGATTTGCAAGCCATTATGTGACTTGTAGTACTACAGCAACTGTGGAATCAGTGGCTGTTGTGGTGCTGGTGGAGCCCAGCCATGGAGGCAGAAGGGGTGTTGTGTAGAGCTGGCCGAGGGACCTGCAGGAGGGGCTGGAATGAGCATGACGTAAGGGGAGCACTGCCTGTAGAATGTCCCATTTTTCTTCCTGTGCAGTGTCAGGCCCCCACGGCAGGAGAATGGGCTGGCCTGTGCAAAAGATCCTTGATCTCCTCACTACCTGTGCTCTCCTGTTTGCGCGCCAAGGCTATGACTGTGGTGGCCTTGTGTAAACTTGGCCCAGTAGGAGGGTGAGTACTTTTCAAATAACTCTTCTCTGAAAACCCCTTTTCCCTAGAGGTAACCCCTCCTAAAACCTAAGCAAACTCTTTCCTTAGTCCCACATTTAAGCGCTCAAAGGCTAAATCTGACAAAACCCTCATTTGAGCACGCAAAGCCTGAACCAGAAAAAAATCTTTAACCTTAATTTTAGGTTTAATACCTCTTATAAACTAAGCACTCCATGCACCCCAATACCAAGTTTAATTCAACTCTAACAATAAACTCAATATTCCCTAAACACCCCCTGTGCTTAAATAATACATTTAACCTAACTCTAAACCTAAGCTGAATAATTCTAAACACCCCTTATACTTCAAATATAACCCCTGACAATATTTTAATCCACCTAAAACGAAATCCTCTATGTAAACTAACATTGACGTTAACACCTCTAAAACCTTAAACCCCCTTTACCGTAACTGCTTCTAAAATAATTTTAACACCTTTTACAGAGCTACATACGGACACAGATTAAAGCACAATACATTACATACAGAAATATACACGTGTGTATATATATATATATATATATATGCAATTGTCAAATATTTATATATGTTTTCTAGATGAATTTATGCCTGAAATGTTATCTTAATAAATTCATTAAACTCATACTACTTGCCTTCTTTTTTCAAGGGTTGGGGGTGACATAGAATTCTGTGCATACAGGCACCTGACATGTAAATCCGTCCCTTGGCTGTGTTCTCCTCTTTGGAATCCACCAGTGTATGCATCTCAAAAGTTATATGGACGATCGCCCTCTTTTTATAAAAATTCTTATTCCGTGAGAGGATTATATAACCAATAGGGGATAAATGGATAAAAAGGTTGCTGGTCGGGGGTCACGCATGACGGCACTCCCTCCACCCTCCCATTTTCCCTAGTTGATCTTTTTCTTTTTTTGTTCTCGACTTATTTTCTTATTCCAAAACCTAGAGGACGGATGGAGATGCCTGGGAGAGCAACAATCCACAAAGCATTTCTAATATTTTTTATTGTCAAACTCGTTTTATTATCAAACAACTGTGGTTTCTGTTTCTAATGTATCATGCTGATCTTCCTTACCTCTTCTTTTAAATAAAGAAGTAAGGCAAAAACCCCCAAACATTCTTATTTATAATTTTATTTAAAAAAATCCAAGGTTTAAAGAAAATATTTACAAGCCATTTAAATGCGTACTTGGAATGGAGAAAAGGCTCTCTGTTTTAATATAAAGACGAGGACTGCCTAGCCGAGTCCTGTAGGATCATTATACTGCCAGAGGTTTAAGACTGTCTCTAATTAACCAATTAGCAGTATGTGTCACATGCCAATATCTTCAGACTAACTCTGAGAGCCCTGTGTGTGAGCTGGCTCCCAGTGCTGTCATAGGATAATCCTAAACAGATTATTATATGTCAATAAATGTCCTATTCTTGCTTTGGAAACATGCAGAGTGTTTTTACATTATTATCTTTTATTTATTCCCTAGCTTAATCCCACCTCCAGCCTTATTAGTACTCCTAATGCCATACACGTTAGTATGTTGCAGGGACATCTGGCAAACAACTAGTTAAACATACTGACAAGGTGTGATTTCCTCTTTTCACTGGCCTGCAAAGCCATTTAAGGTTTTTAGGTGGGACTGTGGCTTTAAAAAACATAGTTTGTATTTGCCTGGGCTTCTCCTTCCCTCCCTTTTCCTATGTCTGCCCCCTGGGATTGAGGGCTGTTGACTTTGGCTGTCAGAATCTTGCAGTGAGAGCCTTTGCTCAGTTCTACAGCAAAAGAGAACTAGCTGGGATCCCCTTCTCGCTTTGCTGGCATTAGTAAACCAATCCGATCAGTAAGTGCAGGAACCTCTAATCCCTTCCTGTTACCAGATATCCTAAAGGCTCAGCTGCCGCCTTGAAATATTAGGATTTTGTGTTTGGATTGGAAGCAATACTGCAATCCTGGGAGGTGTGTGATGACTGCCCCAAAATAACAGAAATATTTAGCATTTAGCACTGACATTGTACACAGTGCTGAGCTGTTAATTGCTAGTGGTACGTTGATACGTAAAGATGCCTCAATGTACTGAAAAGGACTCACAATGATGTCCCAATAAACTACTGTTTTTTGCCTTTTTTTGAGTAATAGGATAGAATTTTACTGGGCATCTGCTCATCCTATGTGAGTTATCAATAATCAGTTTTTACCTGAGTCAGTGCATAGATACAGATTTTGAAGCCAGGCTGAATGATGTTTTGGAGCTTAGATATATACATTTGTTAAAACTCCAGGTTTGGGGGCCGGGGCCCGAACTCCATGGCAGCCAGTCGCATATCTAGTGGGCTCCTCTCACAGCTTACAATGAGCCGACACCAAGCGCTCCTAATTTTCCCCCAACGGAGACTTACTTATCGCCAACACTGACCAGCACACTCAGAGTTGGTGAAACAGAGCCTGCTGTTACTTACCTTGGAGGAAGTGGCGCGGCCTAGCACAGATGCTGGACAGGAGGGACGGCCGCTCTCTCGGACGCGGAGGTCAGGGTTCTCGCTGAGTCTCATTGCTGCCCCGTTCCCCCCCTTCCTGGGCTGGGGGGTTATCCCGGTCTCCACTGGATCGCATAGCATCATCCAGTGTGGAGTGGACGCCTACTCTGTGGTAATCTAGGAGGGGAGAGAGGCCAACACGCAAGATGGGGGATGCCAGAGTCCTAAAGGCAGGAGGCCTCGCAGCACACCAAGCTGACCTCACGATTCCCTATCCCAACATCATGGATTGCATTGATGCATCTTTTAGCCGCTTCTGGGCATCCTTGGATGAATGGAGGACCCGAGCAGTGACTGAAACTGCTCTGCCAACAGGGGAAAGAAAACATCAAGGAGGGAAGCCTAGGGGGCACCTTGCAGGCGATTCTAATGTCACGCTGTCACTAGACAAGCTACCCACAAGCCTACCTGAGCCTAGAGTTAAACGGGGACCAACCCCACTACTCCAGCCATACAAACAGAAGCACTCAAGCCGAATCCGACAACGACTGCTCAAACCTGAAGTGGACTTCTGCAAAATCCCAACTGGGGAGAACTTGGCCTTACAGAGTTACAGAGTTCATATCGCAGGAGCGCTGGCTCTACAACAGGCCTGGGGCATGGAGGGAGCCCCATCTTGGTCTCCCAATACTAATCAACAGCATGGACTGTGCTTAGATGACAGATGTCTGCCTAGTCAGGGCATTGGCTGAGAGTCACTTATGGCGGGCTGCTCTACCAATGTATTCCTTAGATGCAGACCCTCTTGCTAATCTTCACTATTTCTCTGGTTTCCCCGGCGGATCACAAGCCGTGTTTTACTATAATGCTTTATAATAGTTAATTTTACTTACCTTAGTCTAGACTGTTTATCTTTCCTTAAGAATATACTACATTATCAATCTAGGCACATATCCTTAGCCTGTTACCTAGCCTGTGATATACACTAAAACAACCTACTGCCGTGTTCTATTCTATTCTGAACAGGTGGTGTCTAACTGTCTATTAGAACCCCGCCGCCGTGTTCTATGCTATTCTGAACAGGTGCTGTCTATTAGAAGCTGCTGCTGTGTTCTATTCTATTCTGAACAGGTGCTGTCTATTAGAACCTGCTGCCTTGTTTTGTTCTGAACAGGTGCTGTCCATTAGAACCTGCTGCCATGTTCTATCCTATTCTGAACAGGTGCTGTCTGTTAGAAGCTGCTGCTGTGTTCTATTCTATTCTGAACAGGTGCTGTCTATTAGAACCTGCTGCCTTGTTTTGTTCTGAACAGGTGCTGTCCATTAGAACCTGCTGCCATGTTCTATCCTATTCTGAACAGGTGCTGTCTGTTAGAAGCTGCTGCTGTGTTCTATTCTATTCTGAACAGGTGCTGTCTATTAGAACCTGCTGTCGTGTTCTATTCTATTCTGAACAGGTGCTGTCCTATTAGAACCTGCTGCCGTGTTCTATGTTCTGAACAGGTGCTGTCTATTAGAATCTGCTGCCGTGTTCTATTCTATTCTGAACAGGTGCTGTCTATTAGAACCTGCTGGCGTGTTCTATTCTATTCTGAACAGGTGCTGTCTATTAGAACCTACCACCGTGTTCTATTCTATTCTGAACAGGTGCTGTCTATTAGAACCTTAGAACAGGTACTGTCTATTAGAACCTACCACGTGTTCTATTCTATTCTGAACAGGTGCTGTCTATTAGAACCTACCGCCATGTTCTATTCTATTTTGAACAGGTACTGTCTATTAGAACCTACCGCCGTGTTCTATTCTATTCTGAACAGGTGCTGTCTATTAGAACCTGCTGTCGTGTTCTATTCTATTCTGAACAGGTGCTGTCTATTAGAACCTGCCGCCATGTTCTATTCTATTCTGAACAGATGGCGTCTATTAGACCCTACCATCGTGTTCTATTCTATTCTGAACAGGTGCTGTCTATTAGAACCTACTGTCATGTTCTATTCTATTCTGAACAGGTGCTGTCTATTAGAACCTACCGACGTGTTCTATTCTATTCTGAACAGGTGCTGTCTATTAGAACCTGCTGCTGTGTTCTATTCTCTTCTGAACAGGTGCCGTCTATTAGACCCTGTGGTCGTGTTCTATTCTATTCTGAACAGGTGCCGTCTATTAGACCCTGTGGTCGTGTTCTATTCTATTCTGAACAGGTGCCGTCTATTAAAACCTACCGCCGCTCTTCTATTCTGAACAGATGCTGTCTATTAGAACCTACCACCGTGTTCTAGTCTATTCTGAACAGATGCTGTCTATTAGAACATACCACCGTGTTCTATTCTATTCTGAACAGATGCTGTCTATTAGAACATACCACCGTGTTCTATTCTATTCTGAACAGATGATGTCTATTAGAACTTACCACCGTGTTCTATTCTATTCTGAACAGATGATGTCTATTAGAACTTACCACCGTGTTCTATTCTATTCTGAACAGATGATGTCTATTAGAACTTACCACTGTGTTCTATTCTATTCTGAACAGGTGCTGTCTATTAGAACCTGCTGCCATGTTCTATTCTATTCTGAACAGGTGCTGTCTATTAGAACCTGCTGCCGTGTTCTATTCTATTCTGAACAGGTGCTGTCTATTAGAACCTGCTGCCGTGTTCTATTCTATTCTAAACAGGTGCTGTCTATTAGACCCTGCTGTCGTGTTCTATTGTATTCTGAACAGGTTCTGTCTATTAGAACCTACCACCGTGTTCTATTCTATTCTGAACAGGTTCTGTCTATTAGAGCCTACCGCCGTGTTCTATGCTATTCTGAACAGGTTCCGTCTATTAAAACCTACCGCCGCTCTTCTATTCTGAACAGATGCTGTCTATTAGAACCTACCACCGTGTTCTAGTCTATTCTGAACAGATGCTGTCTATTAGAACATACCACCGTGTTCTATTCTATTCTGAACAGATGCTGTCTATTAGAACATACCACCGTGTTCTATTCTATTCTGAACAGATGATGTCTATTAGAACTTACCACCGTGTTCTATTCTATTCTGAACAGATGATGTCTATTAGAACTTACCACCGTGTTCTATTCTATTCTGAACAGATGATGTCTATTAGAACTTACCACTGTGTTCTATTCTATTCTGAACAGGTGCCGTCTATTAAAACCTACCGCCGCTCTTCTATTCTGAACAGATGCTGTCTATTAGAACCTACCACCGTGTTCTAGTCTATTCTGAACAGATGCTGTCTATTAGAACATACCACCGTGTTCTATTCTATTCTGAACAGATGCTGTCTATTAGAACATACCACCGTGTTCTATTCTATTCTGAACAGATGATGTCTATTAGAACTTACCACCGTGTTCTATTCTATTCTGAACAGATGATGTCTATTAGAACTTACCACCGTGTTCTATTCTATTCTGAACAGATGATGTCTATTAGAACTTACCACTGTGTTCTATTCTATTCTGAACAGGTGCTGTCTATTAGAACCTGCTGCCATGTTCTATTCTATTCTGAACAGGTGCTGTCTATTAGAACCTGCTGCCGTGTTCTATTCTATTCTGAACAGGTGCTGTCTATTAGAACCCGCTGCCGTGTTCTATTCTATTCTGAACAGGTGCTGTCTATTAGACCCTGCTGTCGTGTTCTATTGTATTCTGAACAGGTTCTGTCTATTAGAACCTACCACCGTGTTCTATTCTATTCTGAACAGGTTCTGTCTATTAGAGCCTACCGCCGTGTTCTATGCTATTCTGAACAGGTTCTGTCTATTAGAACCTGCTGCTGTGGTCTTTTCTATTCTAAAATATTCTATTGCAGCTGCTGGTGTTTAGACACCCATCTATTCTATTTTATCCTGAAAAGCCACTGCGTTCTGTCCTGAACAGATACTATCAATTTGACACCATTCACTATTCTAATCTAAATTGCTTTCTATTGTATTCTGATCAGTTAGTGCACTTTTAGACACCCATCTATTTCTAGTTTTTAAAATTTAATATACATATATATATATATATGTATTTTAAATAGTAAGTAAACATTTTTTTTCACTATTACTTACATCTCAAAAGGTTGGGGGACCTGAATTTAAATAGGGATTAGACATTATCTATACCAAGATATTATCACAGTAAAGAATACTGTACTGACATAATGTAATGTATATGCTTAACAGACTGTTAAAAATTCCTGCGACAGATTTTGATAATTGTAAAACTACAGAATGTCTTTATGTAAAGGGATTTAATGACTACTGACAAACAAACAGGGGAATTAGCTGATTTGGGGCAGGTGCAAGCTATTCTGTGTGCAAGATCTGAGATTTGAAAGTGGGCCAATCATTGACTAAGTACTTTTGACAACACAGTGCTTAGACAAAAACAATCAAAATGAGCTCTGGCAGTGTGCTCTACCATGAGAAAGGGTTATATATTTTCTTCTGTAAAGTCTACTGTGATTTTAAAAGAAGTCCATATGCTAGTCATGGTTCATATGCATAACTATTTAATCACAAACAGTGTTCAGGGTGCAATCAACACAAGAGAAGATAATAGAATTTACAGCAAATATAATGCGGAGCGGAGCTTGACTTCTGAGCAAAGCGGACTCAGGCAGCACGAGCTCCCGCCTAACTCGCAGATTCTCGGGTATATCAGCGACTAACCAACCAAACTATTTACCAGAGTGCACTACCCACGGCTGGAGCACGGCCTACTGGAGCTGGACTAGGGGGGCGGAGGCCGATCTTCCTGACACTCAGCTCTCCAGCGACCTTATCAGACTCCTCCCCCCCTCCTCCCTGGGTGGATTGACCCAAACCTCCCTACCTGCACCTACGAACCGCTTAATAAATTTATTTATTTATAAAATATTTTACCAGGAAGGATACATTGAGATTTCTCTCGTTTTCAAGTATATCCTGGGTCCACAAAACATTGCATTGATATAATAGGGTATAATAAAATACAAAAACAATATTAATACACAATATATACAAAATTTAACATAGAACAGGTAGGAAATATATAATCAACCATGAGGTGCACATACTACATCCCCATAATCAATGACTGGCATCAGCATTTGCTGTACAATCTTTTTCTTTAGTGTTGGGCTTAGGCAGGATTTGTTTCTGTACAGGGCACCCAGTTTTGGATAAAGTTTAGATGCAAGTTTTGTCTATGTGGAGACCAAAAGATAGACTGCGGTCTAACAACATAGCCAAGTATTTGAAAGAGTGGACTGCGGTCTGTGGGCTATCTGAATTTGTTTTAATGGATAGGTGGGAATTGTGTAATGTGTGTAATTTAGATACTGTTCCAAAGATCATTGTGACAGTTTTGTCAGTGCTTAGGAAGAGTTTGTTTTTGTGATCCACTTTTCTACCTCTGTAAACTGGTCTTGGAGCACAGCCTCAAGCTGTGGTAGATTGGATTTGCTTGAATAGATTACTGTGTCTGCTACATGTGCACATTTGAGGATTTGCCGACATTAGGCAGATCATTTATAAATAATGTAAATAGTAGGGGGGTGAGAATAGACCCTTGGGGAACACAACACGTGACCGGGAGAGGGAGGGAGTCGCTGTCAGAAATGGCTACATATTGCGAGCGATCCGATACATATGATCGAAACCAGGTTAGCGGACAATCACCAATACCTGAGTTTTAGAGTTTGTGCAGTAGAATGTCGTGCTCTACTGTGTCAAAGGCCTTTGCAAAACCAAGGAAAATAGCTCCAGTTAGGTCTCCTTGTCCCATGCAGGTGGATGTCATTGCAAACTTTTAAGAGGGCAGTTGTAGTGGAGTGTCGCCACTTTTATGGATAGGCACTACTCTTGCAGTCTTCCAAAGTTTGGGTATTTATCTAGACACCAAGGATTTGTTAACTAGGGTTGTGTCAAGTTTAGCAATTGCCAGTGCACTGAGCTTCAGCAGAATTGCTGAGATTTGATCAGATCCAGACTGGTTTTTAATTTTTGAATTATTAAGGTGTTTCTTAATGACACTAATAGGTACAGGTCTAAAAATGAACTTGTCTATATTGGGTCTTTGCAAATTTAGTGGGGCCTGATCCACATTTGTAGTTTTAGGATGTGTGTCATTTATTAGCTTGGCAATCAGGATAGTGGAGCATCCAACAAAATTATTGTTAAAGGCATTTGCTACATCTAAGGGAAGTTGCAGGGTTTGGTTATCCACTTTGCCAGTGGAGGGTTGGAAGTGGATTGGGAGATTCTGCTATTTATTTAAGACTTTCTAAAAGTTTCTAGGGTTTGATAGGTTATTGTTCAGATTTTCACAGAAATATTGGCCTTAAACTTGACCACAAAGAATCCTGAAACTGGTATATTTGGATGAAGTCAGCTGTGATCCAGTTCATATGTGTTCCTTTTACTCTCACCTTACTTACAAATTCCAAACTTGTAGGAGTTCAGACTGAAAAATTCAACTGTACAGTCTAGATCTGGGATAATGTTTCATCTGTGCCATGGGAGGTTCTTGATGTTATTTAGAAAGGATTCAAGATTGAATTTTTTGAAGGACCTGCTGATTTTAACCTTGGGAGAGGATTTAATAGCCTTTATTTTGCGCAAGCAGTACACTAACGACCCAAGATGGTGGAGGCCCATCCACATGCCTCACAAGCCTTTAGCCAGTCATATGGGCCTCTCTATGATTGTGACTCCATCGAATCCAGACTGGATGCTATATTCCAAGCTTCTGGGCCAAGCTGCTGGCACGCTCTACAGCCAACAGGTCCAAACAGGAGAGGGAGAGGGGCTCATGTATGGTGACTGGAGGGATACCTACGGGCAGCGCACCCACCCACCCAAGACAACCGCGGACCCACAGTCGGACCTGCAACACTATCTGTTGCCAGTAATGACCATGTCCACATTGACAAACTCAGTACTTCTGTTTGTTTATGTTATTTGCCCCGTTGACTAGCTTATCTATAGTGCAGCGCTTTGCCGTATCCTAAGACCCAGTGGTTTAAAGCTTGATTCATAAGACAGCCATGTGTTTACTATTCCCTACCGCTTTACATAACACTTCTCAACACAGAATAGCTACGCATCTCATGATCTACTAGCGTAACATCCTGTAGCATTCACTAGCATATTATATAATGCTATATTACTCCTGCCTTTATGTACCATACTCCCTACACATCTAGACTTATATGTGACAGTAGAAATTGTTTTATGCTCAGATGTGTGTTGCTAGACATGTTCAAATCTAGTTTAAAAAAAAAAAAAAGGCTGAATATCTTATGTATATGCATACCTACTACAAGTTTATCATGTACACGTTTGCCATGACTTCTGTTTCTTGTTTCTGTAACATACCTCCTGCCTCAAATAAAAAACTGATTGACAAAAAAATATATAATACTGAAATTCATGCCAAGTATCACACGGTATTGTATAATATTGTATATCGGAAAGTACTATAAGGAGTGTATTACTTCTTCCACTTCAACTCCGGTAACTCCAGGTTAAGTCCCCTAATAAATCAATAAACTTTGCCTTTTTCAAAAGAATAATATATTATTATATTATTGTGTATCACTTTTATTTAATTTTGTACCAGTTTAGTACCCCAGAAACAACAATGCAATGTTTGCAATATGCATCATGGTTCTTTATTTTCTAGAATGGAAATTTTTTATTTTTGTTTGTGTTAGATTGATTTTAAGTAGGACTGTTCAAGATGAGGGGACATGTAACCAAAGCTGACCCCCTGACAGTGGCGTACTAAGGGGGGGTGCCACTCACTAGGGCGGTGCACGGGGCAGACTGTGTCGGGTCACTGGCCGAGGACCCAACACCAGGAGGGGGCCCGGCGCCTTGCTCAGTATGCCGCTGGTGCAAGGCCCCTCCTGCACCCATCACAGACACCGGTCTTCAGCTCCACAATGTGTAGACCTGCTGACCATGTGTCTCGCAAGATCTGATCAATCAGAGCATTGCTGTGGGTTACCACGGCAATGCTCTGACTGGGTCCAGTGAGATTCATGGTCTGCAGCTCTGCGGAGCTGCAGACCGGATATTATGGCCACCGGACCACCAGGGAGCCCACACTGGACCACCAGGGAATTAAGGTATGCACCCATCACAGACACCGGTCTTCAGCTCCGCAGTGTGTAGACCTGCTGACCATGTATCTCGCAAGATCTGATCAATCAGAGCATTGCTGTGGGTTACCACGGCAATGCTCTGACTGGGTCCAGCGAGATTCATGGTCTGCAGCTCTGCGGAGCTGCAGACCGGATATTATGGCCACCGGACCACCAGGGAGCCCACACTGGACCACCAGGGAATTAAGGTATTTAGTCCCCACCCGCCCTCTCACCATCACACCCCTCTCCCTCTGACATCACCCCCCCTCCCTTACACCATCACCCCCTCCATCACAGTGTCACTCCCCCTTCCCTGTCACCATCACCCTCTCCCTCACACCATCACCCCTTCTATCACAGTATTACTCCCCCCTCCCTCTCATCTTTCCCCTCCCTCAAACCATCACCCCATCCTTCACACTGTCACCCCCTCCCTCTCACATCACCCCCTTCCTCACACCATTATCCACTATACAAGCACACACACTGCATCCACTACACAAACATACTGCATTCACTAAACAAACACACACTGCATTCACTATACAAACACACTACATACACTATACAAACACACACACACAGACACACATGTATATATGTGTGTCTGTGTATCTGTATGTGTGTTGGTATATGTGTATCTGTATGTGCCAGTGTGTGTATGTGTATCTGTTTATGTGTCTGTGTATCTGTTTGTGTGTCTGTGTTTGTATCATTGTGTCTGTATGTATGTGTCTCTGTATGTGTGTCTGTGCCAGTGTATCTCTCTCTGTGTGTCTGTATGTGTGTGTGCCAGTGTTTGTCTGTATCTGTGTATGACTGTGTTTCTATGTCACTGCATGTGTGTACCTATGTGTCTGTGTATGTGTGCCAGTGTGTATATATGTGAGTATATGTGCATCTCAGCATTTCGCCTACACTACACACAAATACAACCCTGCATCCAAATGTCAACACTACATAAAAACACACCACCATATTCAAAAACAACACTACAGAAAAATGCACGCCTGCATTCAAATGCCAATACATGCAAACACACCCGTACATTCACTCACACATACTCCATACAAAAACATGCTTACATTCAAACACACAAACACTGCTCGGTGCTAAATACATAAAACAAATACAAACATTGCTCGGTGCTAAATACATTTTAAAAATTTGCGGGTGCTTTTTAAAAATAATTTTTAAGCTGGGGCGGGGGTGCCAAATATAGGATCTGCCCCGGGTGCCAAATGCTCCAGGTACGCCCCTGCAGCAGACGTTTCATGGTATCATAACAAGAGCACACGTGGTTATATCTCGTTCACACTAAAGGCACCAAGACCACTTTAGCCCATTGAAGTGGTCTGGTTGCACTGTCTCTGTCAGTTTAACCCTGCAATTGTAATTATTGCAGTTATCGAGAAACTGCAATAATTACTTTGCAGGGTTAACTCCACCTCTACTGGCTGTCTACCAGACATCCACTAAAGATGCTTCCTGGTCATTAGGCAACTTTTGGTCACGTAACTTATGCTGGACATCCTCACGCTCTGTATACGGACATCCAGCATCAACTAAAACTCCGTAGGAAAGCATTGTTTCAATGCTTTCATATAGGCTTGCAATGCTTGCCGCGCTTGCGCATTAGGTCCCCAACGTCTGACAGCGTTGGGGAAGGAGGAGCGAAGATGCAGCCTCACCCAGTGCAGAGGGACATTTGTGCTGGATTCAGGTAAGTGACAAAGGGTTTTATCCCTTTCATCAGTATGGTGGTGAGCGAGGCGGGCACTATAGGGTAGAAGCGGACTATAGTTTCCCTTTAAGTTCTTTGTTTAAGGGTAGACTTATTATTCTTATTTTTATTAAGAGATAAGTATATTGGTGGTAGCTGAGTGACATTTTCCCTATAAATGTCAGTGTAATTTGGCTACAAGAGTTTAGTTTTGTCTTATAATAGAATCCAGTCTCCGTGAACACGGGGTCCGAATGAAGCACTATGTCCTCAGCAGTATACTATGGAGTTCTTCTACTTATTTGTTTTACCAGCTCAGCTATTTTAGTCTAAAATTTTCTTTTCACTTCTTCCCTATACTATAAGAGATCTGTAAATAATGTGGCTAGCTTTAATATATGCATAGTGCTTCTATATTTCACTGTGTGCTTGTTTGGCATACATAAAAATGTCTGAGTCTGCTTTATAGATGTGAAACCTAAGCATAACTGTGAATTTTTTATTTTCATATTCTGATCATGTGTACATATATGCTTAAAGGGACACTATAGTCACCAGAACAGCTACAGCTTAATGTAGTTGTTCTGGTGTGTATAATCTGTCCCTTCAGGCTTTTTAATATAAACACTGCCTTTTCAGTTAAAATGTGTGCTCTGTCAACCATATCTATAGCATACCTCCCAACACTTCGAATATATACAAACACAGACACTTTAATTTTAGGGGTGTGAGTAGAGGTGTGGCCAGGGGAGGGGCTGTTCTGAGAAATTATAGGTGCCTTACTAATAACAATTTATACAACTAAAATGTAATTTAGAACAAGAACAATGTATCTTCTTTACACAGACTGGTTGCTAAACACATTTATTGCACTTTAAAAATACATTACTGGGAATATTATTGCTGTGGAGCTCTTTAATACACTCAGACAATATGGAGCTCCTATGAAAGAGGGGCATTAGGATAGAAAATAGGGACAGAGGGATCTAAATAGGGACTGTCCCTCCAAAATAGGGCCATTCGGAAGGTATGCTATAGACTGTTTTTAAAATCAGTGTTACTGCACTTGAAGGCCATTGGGATGAGCTCTGCGGCTGCCAATCTTGGCCATGGGTTATCCATGTCTTTAGATTCCTGCTGCTGTGTGGAGACGTGTATAATTGTTAGAGATTGTGATACCCAAGCACTGAGGATCCCTATGTGTCAGCAGGTATTACCAACACAAAATAAAGGCCCATTCTCACTGGAGCCAGATGCCAGAATTAACAGTTGCAGAGCATGTGCTACAGTGTGGAGGTGGGCTGACATTTCTACACAGAGACCCCCACTGCTTTCATTCCATCAGGGAGTCTTTGTATTGTGTCCAATGTTAAGCACTGGGATCACATTAACAGCGTGCTTCTTTATCAGTGAATGAAAGGGCTACATTCTTTGTGTTGGGGAAACACTTTTGCATGAACTGAAAGAAGAAGAAAGTGATGCAGCTCTGTGGGTGTATTTTATTGCTATTTGTTATATTAGATGTACAAGCTCTGGAACTGGCATAATAAAATATTGTTTAATAATATCACCTCTGAATAAAAAAAGAATCTCTTTCTTTTTGTTGTGTTTATCTGAAAGCAAGACAAGAGCTGTTTGCAATCAGAGTATTTTTTTGTTGTTGTTCCTTTTAAAAAAATAAAATAATAGTCATTATGGAGTGTTTCTGAATCATTTAACCCTTTGAGTCCTAGACGATGAAACGTTGTTCTTGAATGGAAATTTTAAGGCATACTCTAAGCCGTAAAACAAACGTAGCTTAACAAAGCTGCTATTTATTTTTTTCGCAGTCTCTTTTTACTAAGGTAAGCATAAAGACAATGACATTACATGCAGGAAAGAATGCACAACAGTTTACTGAAATTGCGTTGTAGATTACAAACAATCGGTTGTGATACCTTTTACATTTTGTGAAATAAAAGTAACAGGCTAGACTGACATGTCCTAACTGAGATTATAAACTATACTCATGTAGATAAAGCAGCTTGCAAGACATGTAGAGTATAACAAGCTAATATAACAGTACAGGGAGTGCAGAATTATTAGGCAAATGAGTATTTTGACCACATCATCCTCTTTATGCATGTTGTCTTACTCCAAGCTGTATAGGCTCGAAAGCCTACTACCAATTAAGCATATTAGGTGATGTGCATCTCTGTAATGAGAAGGGGTGTGGTCTAATGACATCAACACCCTATATCAGGTGTGCATAATTATTAGGCAACTTCCTTTCCTTTGGCAAAATGGGTCAAAAGAAGGACTTGACAGGCTCAGAAAAGTCAAAAATAGTGAGATATCTTGCAGAGGGATGCAGCACTCTTAAAATTGCAAAGCTTCTGAAGCGTGATCATCGAACAATCAAGCGTTTCATTCAAAATAGTCAACAGGGTCGCAAGAAGCGTGTGGAAAAACCAAGGCGCAAAATAACTGCCCATGAACTGAGAAAAGTCAAGCGTGCAGCTGCCACGATGCCACTTGCCACCAGTTTGGCCATATTTCAGAGCTGCAACATCACTGGAGTGCCCAAAAGCACAAGGTGTGCAATACTCAGAGACATGGCCAAGGTAAGAAAGGCTGAAAGACGACCACCACTGAACAAGACACACAAGCTGAAACGTCAAGACTGGGCCAAGAAATATCTCAAGACTGATTTTTCTAAGGTTTTATGGACTGATGAAATGAGAGTGAGTCTTGATGGGCCAGATGGATGGGCCCGTGGCTGGATTGGTAAAGGGCAGAGAGCTCCAGTCCGACTCAGACGCCAGCAAGGTGGAGGTGGAGTACTGGTTTGGGCTGGTATCATCAAAGATGAGCTTGTGGGGCCTTTTCGGGTTGAGGATGGAGTCAAGCTCAACTCCCAGTCCTACTGCCAGTTCCTGGAAGACACCTTCTTCAAGCAGTGGTACAGGAAGAAGTCTGCATCCTTCAAGAAAAACATGATTTTCATGCAGGACAATGCTCCATCACACGCGTCCAAGTACTCCACAGCGTGGCTGGCAAGAAAGGGTATAAAAGAAGAAAATCTAATGACATGGCCTCCTTGTTCACCTGATCTGAACCCCATTGAGAACCTGTGGTCCATCATCAAATGTGAGATTTACAAGGAGGGAAAACAGTACACCTCTCTGAACAGTGTCTGGGAGGCTGTGGTTGCTGCTGCACGCAATGTTGATGGTGAACAGATCAAAACACTGACAGAATCCATGGATGGCAGGCTTTTGAGTGTCCTTGCAAAGAAAGGTGGCTATATTGGTCACTGATTTGTTTTTGTTTTGTTTTTGAATGTCAGAAATGTATATTTGTGAATGTTGAGATGTTATATTGGTTTCACTGGTAATAATAAATAATTGAAATGGGTATATATTTGTTTTTTGTTAAGTTGCCTAATAATTATGCACAGTAATAGTCACCTGCACACACAGATATCCCCCTAACATAGCTATAACTAAAAACAAACTAAAAACTACTTCCAAAAATATTCAGCTTTGATATTAATGAGTTTTTTGGGTTCATTGAGAACATGGTTGTTGTTCAATAATAAAATTAATCCTCAAAAATACAACTTGCCTAATAATTCTGCACTCCCTGTATTATGATACTATAGTTGTTAGACCACTGGGTATGTAATATTTAGAAACAATGTTAATAACAGAATATATGAAATTCAAGCATGAATCGATAGTTTGATGACCAAATGGTGTTATCGCCACAGTGAGAAGGTGCCTGGTTGAGTCACCCTATACCTCTGACAGGCCATAAGCGAAAGTCCAGCTCCACTGATAAGATGAAGGCCAATTGTGGGGAAGGGGGGGGGGGCTGCGTCTGAAAAATGCTTGTTAGGGCAGTTCAGCATGAGTGACAGTCAGTCAATGTCCTGGTTGGGCATGCATCTATCATCAGAGTACTGTCCATATAGGTGAGTAGTGTCATAGGACCAAGGTGTGGTACTCTCCATGCAAGAGGCTTGATCCAGAGCCTGCACTCCAGTGCCACAACTTTGGAGCTCTGTGAGGCCAAGTTCTCCCCAACCGGGAAAATACAGAAGGCCCTATCAGGCTTACAGAGCTGTCGTCTGTTATT